TGTTTATCATCCAAAAATAGTTGGGGGCACAGGTCTCTGCTAATGTTTTGTACTATTTTGTGGGTCAAAAGCTGAAAGGTTTGGGAACCATTGCACTTTGGTTCCCAAAGTTGGGCTTGGGACCCAAATATGGGTCATGAAGCACCTTGGATAATCTCCAGAAACCAATTTAAACAGTAATAAAATGATTGCTGATGTAATCTTTTCCCTATAATTATTACAAAAGCACAAAATAAGTAAAAATAAGTATTTATATTTGTGTATAAGCTGTTGAGATTGTCAAAAAGCCCATGTTTTTAGGGTTATTAATGAAGTTCATGTACTCAGACCGATCACAGATCACAGATATTTGGGGTCACAACAAGTTTTTGCCATGGATATTTTGTGGGTCAGAAGACAAAAAGTTTGGGAACCACTGCTCTAGATGGTCTGTGCTCTTAGCATGTGCCTATACTGCCCATGCCATGGGCCAAACCTGTTCTAAAGACCTAATGTATCATATTTTAAATTAGTTAGACCTGTTTATAACTGTTGCAATCTGTATGTCTCATTTCTCAAAGTTGCAGTGTTCTGCTGAAGATTTATCTTTACTTTCCTATGGCATTTACAACATCATCAAATAAGTAGCATACGCCAACGAGAACTCAGAGGGAGAATTTATTTGTGCAACTAAATACCTGTCCATTTGTATGGACGTCATTACTTTTTTTTATACCAAGCATCAGAGTGCAAATAAAAATGTCTGAGTGTATGAAGCACTATTTGACTGTTATTCCAGAGCCATCGACCTACCTGTTTCTCTCATAGCTCRTTTGCTCTCACACCGCTGCACATTTCTTTCTGCTTTATGGAAGTGAAAAATGGAGTTGGTGATTAAGTTCCCAACCTGTGGAACATCTGGGAACAAATGAAAAATCTGTCTCAGTGGGTTTAATTTACTTGTCTTTTTTTCCTCCCTCTCCTCTCCATCTCTCTCCTCTTTTTTTCCTCTTTTCCTGTAACGATCTCACGTAGAAAGCTGATGTCGGTGTTGAAGAGATATCTGGATGTCTCCAGCCGAGGAGAACAGTGTGAGCCCATCCTCCGAACCCTCAAAGCCCTCGAGTATATCTTCAAGTTCATTGTTCGTTCCCGCATGCTCTACTCCCAGTAAGTAAAAAGARAAGTTTTGTCGACAGATCTTTATGATAATCACTTCAAATTTTGTTTATGCACTTTTAACAATAGAAATTATCGAAGGTGCGCCAAACCTGGTGACTCTGCGTTGTGAGAGTAATTGTGTTGACAGCTCTGGGAGAAGAGGCTGCTGATAACAGCACTAATGTTGCTAATAAGCATTGATGATGAAGTGTAGCAACCAAATGAAAGTTAATGTCTGGGCTGGACTGTTAAATTGCGCCAACAGCAAAGAAAAGCTCCAGCAGAGGAGACGCTCACTGTGCTGAGAACGCTCCCACTTTCACACCATGTGGTTAATGCAAAGATGACTGACGTGTTGCCTAATTTTAGCTGATGTGAATACATTTGCAGATATGAAAGGGAGAAAAAAGTAAGATTGTTTCTGAAATCTTGCTTGTTTATAAATGCAAGGTTGTGATAAATGAAGTTTTTACAAGATCTAAATCAACATTTATTAATAGCTTCCCTGCAACTCAGAAAGGATGGATGGTAAATTAGTCACTTGTGATCAAAATCTTCACTATAATAATAAAAAAATAACTTGCTAATTCCGCTTGACTCTAAAAAATCTTAAATGGTTGGGTTCCATTTAAAGACAGTTTAGAGTGTTATTTGCTTATCGGTGAGCTCACGTTTATTTACTGTTCAGGCATTTGTGTGAATTTCCGAGTAGTAAACTAAAAGTTTTTTCCGTGTTGTTGATACACTTGTAGATGCAGAAACAAACAGACAAATGTAGACAAGCTTATTCTTCTTTCCTRTGTCTTCTCTGTCCAAATTGCAGCATGAGCTCCCTGTATAGGGCTTTACTATTATCACCAACAAGCTAAGCAGTCATTAATAAATAAATAGGTGACCTTAAGTGTGTTTGAAGCTGTTTAAACAACTTTATGCTCATACCAAAAACATTAGGGATTGGCCTGTTTATTCCAAATRTATATGTGAGGCACGCTTTAGCTAATTTCTTCTCTGTTTTGTCCTTCATGTCATGSTTTAGTTCTTTAACTGATTCTGATTAGGTCATCACCTTCTCATTTCTTTGTTTTCCCTTGTTATTYTCTCCTTGTTCTTCAGGTTTTCAGCTTTATACTCACCATTTTAAACCTCTCTCACTCCATTTTATTATTCCCTGACGCTGAAACCAAAAGGCAATAATATGTTGGCCTATGTGTATGTGTGTGCTTATTTGTCTGTACTAAAATACCCCATGAACCACTGCAAAGATTTAAATAAAACTTTGGAAGTAAYCAATGGATGTACATCTACGGCTGATTAACTATTGGAGTCAGAGCAATTTAAAATAGTCACCAMAGCAAATCATCACWGCCCAACACAAAAASGGCTATAACTCAGTCMGTATAGTCAGTTTTACACACAGTTCAACACAAAGTCCAAGCACTAACACAACTTGCAAGAGTCTGAAGTATCTTATGAGAAAGGTTATTTTGAAAACAATTTTAAACAAATCTTTATATCATCAAAACAACACTGAAGTCACAGTTGTGTATACTTGATTTTCCTGCCTTTTYAGTACATGAAATAAGAACCATCCAAAGATCAGTAACATCTTTATCAATTTCAGACTTTTATTACTTTTTTAAAGAGTGCTGTAAAGAGTTCGCATTTATCTAAAGAACAAACAAAAACATCTTTAATGCTCGTTTTTATTAACTCATTGTTATGTTTTAATGGATTCAGGATAAGGCGTCTGATTGTTTCTCCATGACAGCTGAGGCTGTGGGCTATTTGTTTTTTCAGGTTGCCTCAGTTTGTTTGTCAAGAACTGAAGGGAAAGTCGAGACCATATTTCATATTTGASAAGTTTCTGAATAARTCACACTCATCTTTGGGCRCCGACTGTTGTCAACGACCTGCGCWTGARAACATCTATAAATTAKAACTTGTTGTTCCAGAGAAGCAACAWGTTATGTTTGAAGTGTCCCCGGAAATATACTGCACCTCTTTCCTGTCCATGTCCTTATTTTAAAAGTTGCTTGTCAAAGATGGCAGACCTGAATTATTTGCTGTGCMGGTTTTGGTTCATCTTGTGAATTAGACCAAAGTTGTCATCTGCAAGACACAACAACTTTTGTTAAGTGTATATGTGTTGAGTGAGAGAGCCAACTGTGATCACACTGACCCGGATACACCCGGATATCTCAACACACRCACTTAAACACAGATAGAGCCGGCGGATTAAACAGGACAATGCTTCTGTAATCATAACTATACTCTGCAAAGAGCCCAGCGATAATACCTCTGTGAGTTAGTGCTTAATCCCCACCCCCCCACACATGCTAAACTCACTGTGTGCCACACGCTAATCCATCCCTGCCGCACTCACCATTGTAATTAACAAATGTGCAGCGCACATAAAATGTGCGAGGAGCAAAGGGAGGGAGAGATGGATGAGACAAACATTTGCTAAGGTTGAAAGAAGGGGATTTTAATAGACGATAGTGGCGAGCGTGGGCGTTTAAATGCACTGTGACTAATAGCAGCTAAAGTAACRTATTTCTAAAGGTAATAATCGTTGTCTCACCAGTTGGTTTCTTATAAATTTTTAATTTTTACGGCATGATGTCTTCTAAACGTAACACTGTATTTGTTCATGTACTCCTGTAGGGGAGTTTAGTGCATCAGACTACACGTATGTGGAATCACCAGTGTATCATTACTCAGACAGTCAGACACTGATGGCCCATTTTCATGCAAACTCAAGACTTCAGGCATAATTTTAGCTTTATTTCTAGGTTACTCTGACTCACTGCTGAGACGTTTAGCTCTAGCTCAGGTGATTATAACGTCCAACCTGCATCCATTTTAAGTTTATAAATAAAAATATTAGTGTGTTAAAAGTAAGATCATGGATTAAAAGCCTTTGTGAAAACTGAATTTAAGACATTTCTCAAAAACAAGTATGACATGGACAAGTAAATTAAACATATGTCTCTGGTATTTATGGATCTAGGTATTGCCTTATATAATAAAACACAATGTTTATTTTTTAAAAGAAGACAGAACTTCAGTAAATACAGGTTTTAAWCAAATAAATTGACCCAAATTCTAATTATCGTGTCAGCCGATGATTTATGAATATCGTTTCAACACAAGATGAAAGTTCTGAAGTCATTTTWAAAAAATCTTAGGTTTGCTCACTGTGAACAGGACGTCACAGTGAGGAGAACAGCGAGAAGTGTAAATTTAACCTGAGTTATAATGTTTATTATACTGAATTAAAAGCTTTACATGAATTATTTATTTTACTTGGAAATCACGAGACACTTTCTAAGAGGCTCTTCTCTCCTGCGCTATTTGTCTTTCCTTCCACATCCACTGCCAATGATTATTCACCACACTTGTTGTTTGCTTTCATCATTTTTACCTCTTAAGACGGTTCACTCTCCACCCTCCTTCCTAATCATCTCACGTCTTGTATTCTGGCATTTTGTCTCGCCCTCTTCCTTTGTGTCAGTTTATCCTTTTGTATTTTCATACACTTTCTTCTTTTCTTGCAGACTCTATGAGGGGAAGGAGCAGGCAGAGTTTGAAGAGTCGCTGAGGCAGCTTTTTGAGTCCATCAACAACCTGATGAGATCAGACTTCACTACCACTCTGTTGAACAGGGTAATCCCCAGTGCACACCTCCAAACTGCTTTTCTCTAAAAAGCTCTTCTCTTTTCATATCTTTATTCATAGAACTTACCTGCCTTTGTTTTCTACATTTTTTTCTGATATTTTTATGCCAATTTTTTTCACTATAATATATCACCTGTCATTTTATCTACATGAAAACAAAGCAAAGAGGAAAACAAAAAGAACAAAACAGATTTCATAACAAAACTAAATTATTTAAAACTCTATTTTGGCCTTTTAGAGTCTATTAAAACTAAATTTTGTAAACCTGTTTCACATGTTCAGCTTAAATAACTTTATGTTGTGATACCTCTCATTGCATTGTACACTGGTGAAATCTGGTTGTTTTAGTCAGGATTACACTACAATGTGTTAATATTAGACTAAAATAAACTTTAAAATCCCCGTAAATGCCAACCTTTAATATTTTCACTTTCAAGTTTATTCATTTTTATTCCTATAAATTCCCATTATTTATAATGAATTATTTACGACTTTTAAAAATTTCTCTGAATTTTTCAACCCCTATATCCATATCCTATGATCTTCCTTTTATTCTCACACCAGTTCAAAAATAGTCATAAAACAGAGAAACATCTTAGGGGAAAACGAGATAGATCCTCACACATGAAGAAAACCTGTTTGATGACAAAGTCACCTTCCACATAGGTTTAAAGCGGCAAATTTAATGGTGTTTTTTTTTCCTTGTGTGGGCGCACGTCGGCAGGTCGCCGCTCTGAAGTACCTGCCAACAGTCTTGCACGATGTTGAGAAAGTATTTGACGCAAAACTCCTCAGGTAAGCTTATGCTCCACAAAATTACAAGCACAAACACACAACAAGTGCCTTATTTTTGGTGTCATTTGGGTGCACTGACAAAGCAAAGGTGAAGGAGCTCTCAGCACAAGTTCTTCTTTCTGCTTTTTTTGATGGCTGTGTTTTTCTGTCTTTACACACTCCACAGTAGTTAAACTCTACTGTTTTATCAGGTGATGAAAATCTCATCAAACTGACACAGAGACAAGGACAAACACTTACACCCTCTCTGCTGCTCGTCTCTGTGTGCCCCTGAGGAAAAAAAAAAGTCAAATTTCCACCAAAATCGTAAAACAAAAGCTGTTTGACTTCCCACTGTTTTATGACCAGACTCCTAAMGAACAAAGAAACATGGTCTGGCCCATTTAAACTTTCCTTGAACCAGAATCAAACATGATGCTTAAGTTTTGGTTCCAAATGCAAAGTTGGTTCTTTCACAACTATGAGTTTGCATTCCTTAATTTATATTCTAGTATTTGGAGAATCAAACAGCACAAAAAGTAAGGACATTTTTATGATTATTTATTTGTTGCAACAATTCTTCTTTGGAATAAATCTTATACCACTGGAAAGCCAGTTAATTTCCATTTTAAATGGTGACACATTTGTTAGGAACATGTGGAGCAGTAGAGCTRAGTATGTGGGTTGCACACATGATTGCCCCTAGCCAATTTGGTGGCCTAGGCAAAATTTCAGGAGACGCCCCATGTACAGTTTCACAAATCTCACAATTCACAAACACCATTTTACTTGAACCAAATCAACTAGTTTTGTCTTTGATATTTTTTTCATTTTTAGGAACCAGGTTGTTCAATTAAAAATGGTTAACATTRGAAATAATTTGACACAGAATACCAGTAGTCTACCTCATACCTGCCAATATTTACTGACAGCAGCGAGGAACAGCTGTTCATGCTAACATGCAGTTGTGGAGTGAAGCAGTTCTAGAGTTCTAGGGGGGTCCAGGGTATATTTAGCTTTTGGTCATCTTGAAAACCAGTTTGAAGCTCAGAGGAGATTGAACTTTTTCAGTCGTGGCTCCTAAGCTTTGGAACAATCTGCCCTCCATTATTAGACAGGTCTTATCACTTCCTGTTCGTAAATCTCTTAAAAAAACACACATTCTTACTGACTTTTAATCAACTGTGATTTATTTCCTGTATTTTATTGTTCTGTGCTTTTTGAATGTCTTTCTTATGCCTGCTTTAAATTATGTTGTTTGCTGTTTATATTGACTTTTTTGCCTTTTGTGTTCAGCACTTTAAGAACTTGTTTTGAAAATGTGCTTTTTAAATAAATTTGACTGGATTTGTTGATTTTTATTTTCCCGGAAAAATTTGTAAAATATCTACTTAAAAACTGTGCATTTTTCAGCCATTTGAAAAGCATTTGACTAAATTCTTGTGATTTATAAAACACCATAAAACTGGTATTTTAAGAAGGTAGAATACTGAAAACCAGACTTTCATCTCAAATTATTCTCAGATCATAACGGAAACTTCCATTATCATTATTTTAAAAGGATTCATCTAACCAAAAGACACTAACTGAGCTTTTCTCAGCTTGATAGATTCAATTTATAAACACTCCTATCTTCCTAATATTTATCTTTCTGTGACCTTTCAGTGAATTTCTGTGTCCATTTATGTGTTTAAATTATCTGCCAGCTCCTCCTCTCCTTTCAATAATTTCAACACCTGGCTCAGAGCCACACACACACACACACACACACACACACACACACACACACACACACACACACACACACACNACACACACACACACACACACACACACACACACACACACACACACAGATGCTAAGAGGCAAAGGTAAATGTCAGGGCACGTATTCTTAGATTCTGCCTTCTGTCATTCATTTCCCTTTTCTCTCTCCTTCACGCACAKTCACTCACCTTTTATTTAKTTTTTKACACACTTAAAAACCTATCTGAGCCATCTGAACTTAAAAGCAAGGTCCCCGCTGTATGTCTGATAAGGATTGCCCCGAGCACTTTCCACGGGTAAACCGTGTGATTTCCAATCCCAACAGGAGGTGGACATCAAAGTTTTCACATCTCCTTGCCTTTTAGTTTGATCTGTGGCGTGCATGATTCCTCTAAACATTTTCTTATTTGTGGATGTGTTTTTTTTTATTGTCTCCATCCTTTTGCGTGCCCATACAGGTTACAGCTTGACATTTTAGATTTTAATTAGATCCTGCTCAGATGATTAGTGGGGGCTAAGTCTGCACTGAACCTCTGTGCCTCACTGAGTCCTCGTGTCAGTTTGTGCACCAACCCTTTTAGTATGTTTTGGTTTTGGAGCAGAGGGTGTGCGTTTTATCATTCTGTGCTCTTAATGAAAATGATGGCCTGAGTGGGATAATATTTCAACAGAGAAAGTGAAACACAGGTGAAAATGAAGACAGAGTGTCCACTATGCTCTCTGCATTTAATCTTTTAAGTAGCACCGGGTCCTGCAACCATCCTGTTTAATTATTGTAAAATTTAATTTATGTTAGAGGATATGTCAAACCTATAACTTCATTAAAGTGTGGGTGCTCTAGCTCATTTGTTTTTATGCAGCATACACAGCTCAGCCACTGTTTCTGATTTGTGTTTTTACTGTTATACACTTGCTCATTTTAGTTGCTTTATGTTGTTTTAACCTCTAAAGTGAGACGTTTAAAGCTTCAGATTTCTTGCTTGTAAGGTTGCAAAAATCTTCCAAATTTAAGAACAGGATGCCAAATATCAATGACTGCTTAAATGTTTTGTTTAAATGCACTGCATATTTTATATTAGTATTATGTAATATAGTATAGCATTAGTACAATAGTATTATATTCGTCTTTATCCATGTTGTTTTATTTTCCTCAGTAAGTTGCTGCATGACTTTTATTCCTGCATCCCACCTGAGAAACTCCAGAAGCAGAAGGTAGCCTCCATGACTGAAATCGTCAGCAGCCAACTCTTTCAGAAACAAGGTGTGTCCTTCTTTTTAAATCCATTTTCACACTTCAGCCCTGAACACGAAAAGACTCTATGCAAATAACCACTTACAAATTTCCACAAGATCAAAACACCGTCAATGCATTCTGTGCAAAATGTCACAAAAGCCTGTTGAGCATTGATTCCTCCTCATAAAATTGTAGAGATTACATCAAAAAGTCTATTAAACACTGAGTAATTCCAAAATGACCATTCAGACAACTGACCTCACTTTGGTTTACGAGCGGTGAAAGTGCTCTTTGCTTTAATGGCTTCATCTTGGAAATACTTACAGTGAACTGCACTTTTCATTTTGGGGCAGCCTACTGAAACACTGTGAATAAAATCCTCAGCCAAATGGGCAAAAAAGACATAATAGCATCTGTAYGCTTAAAGCTCACACTGGCAAGACTGTTTTGAATTGGTTATATTTCAGAGCATGTAATAGTCCAGTCTGTAATCTTTCACTTAGCACTTCTTTATACTTACTTTTAATGTTTGTAGATTTTTTTGTTTGTTTTCACCAATTTCAATCATAGCAACAGAGTTTATTTTAAGCAGTTCATTAACTAGTATTAAATGTAATTAATTTAATTCAATAACAGTTTAATAAATTTTAACTGACTTCCGCTACAGTTTGGATTTATTTTTGAGTTTACTGTTTATTAGCTGTTTATGATGTACAGCTGGGCTAAATTCACCTACAATCACATTGCAATCAGTGCAATACACCCCAGTTAAATACTTTCGTATTACAATCAGTCTGAGTAGTGCTATTACATACTTCTTCCACTGATGGTAAAAAGCTGCTCTACATAACTCTTGCTAAAAATAACTAATATTGGAGTTAAAACAGTGTTGACATCAAAATAAATTTGCATTAGAACATGGTACCGTTTTTATATTCCTAGTCTAGATTTAATTTGTGCATCGAGGTAAGTAAGTTAATGTTGCAGCAGATGTTGAGGTAAACAGTGAAACTTGACTGATTAATGTCACAAGTGGCTCATGGTCAGAAAGTCATTGACTTTAAGGGGATTTTGTTTCCCTCTTTGTAAACTACTTTTTATAGATTTTGCACTGTTGCCACACATTTTAACAACGAGTCCGCATCGGGGATCACACACTCCCCTTGATCTCATTTCAGTTCTAATTTGTCCGTTTTAATTTGCTCATGGTGAGTTGATAAATGGTTGTTTCCCCTGCAGAGGTGATAGATTAGAGTGATCAAGTGTTGTGATGCTGAGTGTGTACACAATAAACCGGGCCATAATCTGACTTCTGCAGCAGACTGTAAAATGGTTGGGGACTAAATCTGGTTGGAAACAAAAATTGGTCTGGATGGAGCTGGGTAGGAAACATGCATGGCTGAATCGATTTACATCAAGGTCTTCGCTGCAGGTGTGCAGGAAAGCAAATAAATATATWTATAAATAAAATTGCTCGTACACCACCTGTAAATACAATGCATAGCTTAGTTTCAAAGAAGCAAATGAACTCCATATCTCACTATGAGCGTATGAATCTGATAGTGTGTGCAGTGGTGCTTGTTAAACGAGTGTGAGCACTGCCTTGAGGGCTGTTTTTTTTTGGCAAGTTAGTTGCTGCTATAGCCAAATTGCTGAGAATCTAAGTTCAGGATATAGTTCTTTGTATTGATTTTGGCTCAGATGATCGATTCCCCTGGAGTTTGGCCCTGTGGCTTGCTATAAAATTGCTCCCAATTACACTTTGTCACCAGGAATAGAGGGTGAAAGAAAAGAGAGCCATAGAAGAAAAAAACATCCACTTAGCCAAATGTTTACATATTAATTTTGGATGACAAAATTGAAAACTCAGAGGGTAAGGTTTGGTGAGAGTTGGATGACAAAGGCATGAGATGGAAAAAAAAGTCTGATTCGAATAGAGAGCAAGAAATAGAACACAGTTGAAGAGGATTGTAGATTGTCATTTCCAGAGGAAGGATTGCTTTGTGAATGAGAAGAAAGAAAAACATTTGCGAGTTAGAGTGACACGTCAGGTTTTTCCATTAAACACCTCACACACGATTGGAGTTTAAGAACCAATCCTCAAATCTGCAGCTGCTGGTCAGCAACACTTGAGTTTCTTTCTTTTTTTTTAACTTTCCTGCATTCTCAGACTTGATGCTTTTATCCCCCCCCCTCGTATCCATTTGTTCATTCCATCTCAAGTACATACAGTGCAAAATGAGGGCTGACACTCTAATTGAGATGCATTTTTTTGTATTGCAATGCTAATCAGTGGGCTTGTATGCTGAGGAAACCTTCGTTTAGCAGGCTGAATGGATGCGGCAGAGCTGAATTACATATTTATAATAGTTAATGGCCCTGGTGTCCTATCACTGCACTGTAATACATATTTAATATCCCTACCTGTCTGTCTAACTGACTGTGCCAAGCGCACTCTTCAGGGAAAAATGTCAAGCCTCTGACACTGCTCCTGACGCAGACACAGATGGATGATGGAAGGGGAATGTTGTGTTGCTTGTTCAGATTTGATAGAGTGAAATGAGCACTCTTGAGAATGATCATTTAGTTTAAATGAACTGACTTTAATTCATGTACTCATTAGAATTGGTAGAATAAAAAAACATAAACGACATGCATATTCATTTGGATTGTTAAACGATCATGTGTTCAGTGTTTAAACATTATAATTTTGCATTTCAAGCTGCAGCTCTAAATCTCTTGAATGCATAACGAGCAGAATAAATGTTTTTTTTTTTTGCTCTTCAATGCATTGTTGTTTACTGTAAACTATTTTGGGAGCTTAGTTTTGCAGAAACACAAATTCAAGTCTGGAAAGACTAAAATCTTGAGGTAATGAACTCATTTGCAAAACAAATATGTAAATAATTGCGTGGAGTTTGGTGTAACCTCTTGATTCTACAAGTCTAAATTCAGTCAAACTTTTCTTCCTTTTTTTTTCTAATTCTTAATTTAATTTTAAATCATTTGTGTCCAACTTCCTAGTGTTTTTAGTCCCCTTGCTTGGCTTTCTCGCGCACTTACTGTATGGGCAATGTTTGAGGAGATTTGGACTTTTATTTCCCCATTACTCAGAAATGCTCGTCGGACTTATTCAGCAAACGCTCCTGGGATTAAAGGTCTTGGCAAGCACAACGTGTATCCACACACACAAACACACACAATGTCCACATGCTCTCACTGGCACTCATGCATTGAAAGACATGTGCATCCTGTCATATGGGTTAATCTGGTTTTGAGACTAAATTAAATTCACAAGGCGCATTATGGCTCAATTTAGGCAAATTATTATTCAATCAGGCAGCCACTGTGACAGATTGAGAGCATCAACTCTGATAAAAAGGGGAAAATGAATGAGATCAGGACAAATAAGAACAGACCTAAGGATGAGTCAGTCATTTTTATTTTATTTTTTACCCTTCTATTTCCTCAAAGCGAGTCAAATTGAGTCCTTTTAGTCTGGATGTTCTCAGCAAGATTTCCATCTCCCCTTTTGAAATTCCTATCAGTCTCGTAGTAAATGTAACAAAGTTTAAAACAAATCCTTCATGATATTGTTAATGCTCCTTTAAAGCTAAATGTTAGTCAGCTGTTAAAATAACCCACACTGCAAAAAAATGACAAAGCTGTACCTACTTCTTAAYGTTATGTCAATTAAAATAAATGGGAGTGATCTCATTACTTGAATTGCTTTTGTTTACTGCCCCACATCAAGTAGAACTGCGAACATTGTTCACACCGATGTGYGTTTCTTGATGTGATTACTTAACAGAGGTTTGCCAGTGCTCGATGAATACTGATGAGTAATGTACTGTAGAGTTATTTTGGTCAGGATTTAATCAGTGCTGAGTGATCACAGTTGTCCCTACATTCTCAACCAATCAACATTATTGATATGTCACGATAGACTACGGGTAYAATGACACTCAAGTAGTTCAAATTYATTAGGCTTCTGAAAAACATTTTGAGGAAACCCCTAAAAAGTACAAACACAAAATAAATCTCATATTTCTCGTGATTGGGCGTTGTGATGTGGAAAATATAAAATGGTCGGGCTAAAGCTAAACAAGTGCATGTGTGCACCACATAAGACTTTGTAATTATTTTGATGCATTTTGGGCCATATACTCAGTGCAGTAGCCTGAGTTGTAATTTCAAATGTGTCAGCTTTACTGCTGCAGTCAGCGTGTGAGGATACATGTGCGTGCAACAAGTTTCTTGCTGGTCAGTGAGCACCCTGTGCCTCATGGTGTATCTGTAGTTTTAAAACAGGTTAGGTGTGTATATGTGAATCATAAAAAAATAGGATGGTAATATGACTGTCCCCTTAGGCTGTCTCAAAGTACTTCTCTTCTTTCCTCTAATGCATTTTTCTGCCTCAGATTATTGCTTTTTTCCCAGTTCTCCAGTTCTCTTTTCTTCTTTTCATACCTCCTCCCATGATTCTTGTAAAATACAACTTGTGCTGTGCTACGTTCCGTTAGCATATACATCATATTTACAGCTTTCTGCCATGTGGTTCTGCAATGCTCCCATCAAAAGTGAYGACCAAAGCCAGAGAATCATCAATGGAAACGAGGTCCAAGCAGCTGAAATGACTGTTGAGGTGCTTTGAAAGCACAGGAACCATCTGGTGCCGGAGATGTTTTTAAAAGGTTGTTGTTCAGACTGACCCAGAATAGCCACACTCATTGTGGAGCTTTGGCTTGATAGCTTTAGAAGGTTAATGAGAGCAAAAGAGGTAGTGGCTGTCATTCAATCTCTGTAGAGAATGCAGTTTGGGAGGTTGTGAATAGACGAAACGAGGGATGGATGAGACTAATGGAGTAAAGTGAAAGGAGTTTAATCATTTTGGGGAATGCCTCTGCCTTACACCCTCCTTCCATCTCATTTATATTCTGATGTCTGTTCCTGTGGGGTGATTTCGGTGGAAACTAAATGCAGACAAGGACAGCAGAGCGGGACACGATATGGTTACCACTCATTTA